CCCCCTGCCCTGGCGCACCTGCTTCAGCCGGCGCACCTCCAGCTCCAGCTCGCCCTCGCGCGCGCGGCTCTGGTACTCCTGCAGGCCCAGGCTGCTGCTCCGGCCGCGCCGCTGCTCCGCCTCCAGCTTGAAGAGCTGCAGGTGCTCCAGCTGCCGGCGCAGGTCCTCGATGAGCTGCGGGCCGGTAGCGGGCGTCAGGTGGGCAGGGCCACGAGGGGCGCCAGACTGGGGGCGGGGCGGGGGGGCGGGTACCTCCTGGGTGGCCTCCTTGTCCCTCTGGAACTGGTGCCGCTCCTGGCTCAGCCGGTCCCCCAGCCGCCGCCTGGTCGCCTGCTCCTCGCCGAGCCTCTCTGACAGCTCTTCGATCTCGTCCAGCAACTTCTGCTTCTCCTGCAAAGCGCGGCCGCTGAGCAAGGCGAGAGCGGCAGCCTGGGGGCCGCGGGGCCCCTCCGGAGGGGGGGGGGTGGCGAGGTCGGTCCTGTGCCCTGGGATTCTGTGGGCGCTGGAGTCACAGCAGCCACATCCCAGCTGGAGGGAGGCGCCCTGTTTCAGAGCTTCGTGGGCCCCGTAGGGAGGACGTCCTGGCTGGGCCACGGGAGCAGGCAGCCGGACATCCGGCTGGAGGGGCCCCAGGAGGCAGCGCCCGGGTCAGACCCGCCCCCGGCCGCCCCAACCCGCAGCCCCACAGCCCACCTCCTCCAGCCGCTGGATGCTGGCCTTCAGGCAGGGTGTGCAGGACCTCAGCTCGCTGTTCTCCTCGTCCAGCTGCTGCAGCCTGCAACGCAGAGCCAGGCTGGGCCCGGAGGGGCGTCGCGCCCCCACACCCACAGGCCGCCCGAGCTCTCCAGGTGCCGGAGGGGCCTGAGACGCCAGCTGGGCAGCGGCCAGTGTCAGCACAGCCTGGGCTCGGCGGCGTCGGAGGCCCCTCTGGCTCTGCTGGGCCTGGGTGAGCCTGGCGCTCACTGAGAGTCCGGCCCCTCCCCTGACAGGTCTGGGGGCGCCTCCAGCTGGTCTGTCTTTTTGAGAGCTCTGGGGTGGGTTTGGGCAGAACCCCAGGGGGAGG